CTATTGGGTGTTTGCCCTGGGACGAGACGAGACTGAGTGGCAGTGTCTCCTCACTGTTTTCTTTCATTCATTCACTCCCTTGTTTATTCACTCATTTGTTCATACACTCAGCATGCACTGAGAAGGCATTATATGCTGCACACACTCTTCCTATCTGCTGTATATGCAGGTGCAAATGAGCTGCGGCCCTGGCTTTACAGGGTCCGGATGGGCTTCATGGAGGATTTGTTTGCATGGCTTGGAGGAGGGGGCAAGAGGAGGCCTGGCAACCACGGCTTTCTCCTATGCACCAGGAGAGGGATGCTAAAGAAGCTGGGTGGCCCCACTGACTCTCGAATCACCCCTGGGCTAGTGACAGTGGAAGACACCAGTATCTTCCACACCCACTCATTCAAGGATTGCTGCAAATGTATAGAGCCAAAACAGTCCTGTTACTCTCATTTCTAATAATGTACTTCTAGAAATGTATCTGAAAGTAAGCATTCCAGCAGAAGACTGGAGGAATTACATTCCACAAACGGGTGTTGCAGTGGTATCAGTACTACAAAAATAAGTAAACAAAATCTTCAGCTATGCAGGATTTGCTAAGAGTAAGTACTGCACACACATGTGACACATTCCTGATACATTAAGTGTAAAATGCAGATTGACTTCAATACTCATTCTTATTTCATTAATGTAACAAAAAAGACAGAGAGACTAGCAAATGTATTATTAAATAATAATTGCCTTAATTATGAAGACACTCTGATTTTTAATCAGACTGCACCACATTTAACCTGAACTGATCTAACCACACCAGCAGTGCCAGAGGTCCCGAAGCCTGGCCCCTTATGTTTCCTTTTTTTTTTTTTTTTTTTTTGAGATGGAGTTTCGCTCTTGTGACCCAGGCTGGAGTGCAATGGCGCGATCTTGGCTCACCACAACCTCTGCCTCCTGGGTTCAGGCAATTCTCCTGCCTCAGCCTCCTGAGTAGCTGGGATTACAGGCACACGCCACCATGCCCAGCTAATTTTTTGTATCTTTAGTAGAGACGGGGTTTCACCATGTTGACCAGGATGGTCTCGATATCTTGACCTCGTGATCCACCCCCCTCGGCCTCCCAAAGTGCTGGGATTACAGGCTTAAGCCACCACGCCTGGCCGGCCCCTTATGTTTCTACTGAGACTAGGCATCAACCAATTTATAATTTTTGTCAATCTAAAGAAGTAATTTGATGTCAGGCTGAGAGACTCATGCCTGTAATTCCAGGACTTTGGGAGGCAAAGGCAGGTAGATCACTTGAGATCAGGGGTTCAAGACCAGCCTAGCCAACATGAAGAAACCCCATCTCGATTAAAAATACAAAAATTAGCAAGGCACAGTGGCATGTGTCTGTAATTCCAGGTACTGGTAAGACTGAGGCAGGAGAATCGCTCGAACACAGGAGGTGGAGGTTGCAGTGAGCTGAGATCACACCTCCACACTCCAACCTGGATGGCAGAGCAAGGCTCTGTCTCATAAATAAATAAATAACGGATGTCATTCACTTTGCACCTTTTAAAATATTGATAGGTTTAAGCATCACTTAAATTATCTTCAGTTTGGGATCTTTTTCTTCAGTAAATTAGGCCTTTTCAGGTTTTTCTGTAAAATGCCTTTTCCCATTTTTTACTGAGGTTGCTGCCTTGTTTTTGTTGAAATATAGGAGTTACTTGTATATTTCATATGTTAACGACTTGTCAGTTTGAGACATTGCAAAACAGTTCTTCCACCGTATCTAACTTCTGTCCGTTAACGTCCACAAAGTCCTTCATTAAACAGGTTTCAGTTGTTACACGCACAAATGCAATCCATTTTTCCCTTGTGGTTTGTATTTTGAGGTGTTAAGACATCCTTCTCCATTACAAAGTCATGAATACGTCCTATCTTTTATGCTTCTTTCTGTTAAAGTCTTATCTTTCATATCTAGGTCTTTACTCCCCTGGCATCCACCTGTGAACATGTGCTAGGTGGAGATCTAGTTATGAGCTCAATTTATCACACATTCACTAAACAATTTCTCATTCTTCATTGATTTGTGGTGCCAGTATTGGGCATATATTTTAAGTTCTACACATTTGTAAGTCAGCTGAGCTCTCCACTGCATTCCATAATGTTTTTTTGTCTGTTCTGTGCCAATACCATAATGCTCTATAAACACAACTTTTTCTTGGTCTATCTTAATATCTAGAAGGGTAGAAATCCCTCTTTATCCTTCTTTTCACAGCTGGCTAACTGGTGGACCTCCTCTCTTCCTCTACATTTTAGAGTAAGTCTATCAAGTTTCACAAAAATCACGTTGGAATTTTTAATAAGATTGCATTGACTGTACAGATTAATTAGGGAAGAACCGACAACTTTATTCAGTTGTTTGAATGAAAAGCAAGGAATATATCCACTCAGATCATTTCTTATGTTCTTCATTACAGTTTAGTGTGCTTCTGACAAATCCTATGTATTTTTAAAATTAATTCCTAAGCACTTTATAGATATTTTAACTATTACAAATATCTGAATTTTTCCAGTTTCATATAGTAGCTATACAGAGAAATGCTACTGGCTTTAGTAAGTCATATTCAGAAGGCCTTTTGAACTCTTTTATCAGTTTGACAAGGTCGACTGTTCTAGGTAAACAAGCATATAATCACCTACAGATGACTGTCTCACTCTTCCCTACTGCTAGTTACATCATCTCACTTCTTTCGGTTTCCTTCGACATTAGGTATACCGTCCAACACAGTATTACACAGTGGCTGTGATACTGAGCACGCTCGTCTTCTCTGTGAGCCACTGTGCCCAACCAAGAAAATCACTTGACTATTTCAATCCTAGCACTTGGGGAGGCCACAGCAGGGAGATCACTTGAGTTCAACAGTTAGAGACCAGCCTGGCCAGTACGGTGAAACCCCATCTCTACTAAAAATACAAAAATGAGCTGGGCGTCTTAGCACACGCCTACAATTCCAGCTAATTGGGAAGCTGAGATTTGAGAATAGCTTGAACCTATGAGGTGGAGGTTGCAGTAAGCCAAGATTGCACCTCTTCACTCCAGCCTGGCAACAGAGTAAGACTCAGCCTCAAAAAAAAAAAAAAAAAAAAATTTCTTGTTCAAAATGATAATGGAGTGACACTGAAGGATTTCTGGGCTGTGAAAATTCATACTAAAACCCACCTTATTATATCACACTACTTTAATATATTTATTTTTTAAAATTTATTTTACCTAGGAGTTTTGCATCTATACCCATCATTAAAATAATCTTCTTTGTATGTATATCTTTATGTTTAGAATCAAAACTCCAGCAGTCTTTTAAAATAAGCTGGGTAAAGTTCGGTCTTTATTTCCTGGAGCCAATTATATGAGGTAGCAGTTGTTTCTTGAAACTTTGGCAGAATTAATCTGTAAAACTACCTAACCCTGAACAGTCTTGGACTCCCAGTTTAATATCTCTAACACTCTTTGGACTATTCAAGTTCTTTTTCTTTCTTTCTTTTTTTTTTTTAAATGGAGTCTGGCTCTGTCACCAGGCTGGAGTGCAGTGGCTCACTGCTGCCTCCACCTCGTGGGTTCAAACCATTCTCCTGCCTCAGCCTCCTGAGTACCTGGGACTACAGGCACCCGTCTCCTCACCTGGCTATTTGTGTATTTTTAGTAGAGATGGGGTTTCACCATGTTGACCACGCTGGTCTCAAACTCCTGACCTCAGGTGATCCGCCCACCTTGGCCTCTCAAAGTGCTGGGATTACAGGCATGAGCCACCTCACCCGGCCAAGTTCTTGTTCTCCTTATGCTAATTTGAACATGCTGTCGCCATGAGATGTGCCCGTTCCCCTTTCACCGGCTCCCAAGGCCTCCTTAGAAGCCAAGCAGATGCCAGCATCATGCTTCCTGTAAAGCCTGCAGAACTGTGAGCCAATTAAACATCTTTTCTTATAAATTACCCAGTTTCAGGTATTTCTTTAGAGTAATGCAAGAACAGCCTAACTAATACAATACATAGGTGCATACGTGAATGACAAAGAATGTCTCCTTGATCAGACTTTGCTCAGCCTCCTCTGAGCTCTCTGCACCACTGGGCCCAACCTGAGGATTCCTGTCTCTGTCCCTGCAGAGTCTAGTTTTAGCAAGAATCCTGCTAAGTCAGTTTAACCCCAGTTCCCTGCCCCAGGTGTCTCATCACCCTCCATAGCTGACCAAATTCCAACACCTGCCCCACTCCCCCCTGTGGATCACCTTGGCCCACCCTCACAAGAATCCTGCTAGGTCAGGTAAGCAGAACCCCCACTTGATGTCTCTTCTCAGTGACTTTCCATCCCCCACCCCCCACCCTGCTCCTTGGCTATAAAACCCCACATTTCCTTATTATTTTTGGAGTGGACCCCAATCTGTCTCCCCTCCTGCAAAACCTCAGAGCAGTCCCTTACATCTATGACGATTCTGAATAAAATTGTCTTGCTGTTTTTAAAATGTCAGAATGTTTTCAGATATGTGTGTGTATATATCTCTGTATCTGTAGACATACAGACAGATAAATAGATCGATCGATCTCCAAAGAGCAGGTTTTCCAATGTGCTTGCAATGTGCTTATTTTATGAACATTGGAATCTTAACCCTCAAGCACATCTGGAAAAAGCTTCCATGAGGTTAGAGCCTGGGATGGATTTGTGGCATAGACCACAATGCTGGGTAACGTGTCCTGTGTTTTCTGGCCACGTAACTGTAAGATTTCAAAAAGACCCAATCAACGATTCTAACCCAACTCTCTGCATATATATATTTACCCCCACACAGTATGACTCCCTGACTAGTGGTTAACGGACTTGCTGCGGCCGCAGAGGCGGTGGCCAGTTTAGCCATTTCCGGAGGAAACCTGCACAGTCCTGACGGTCACCAAGCGCCTTCCTGGCCTTATAGGGTTGGGGGAAGAACCCGCTTCTGCCCTTATCAGGAGCACGGACCTGAACTGGACTCCACCGCCCCGCCCCCACCCACCCTGGAAGCCAGAAACCCCAGGCAGCCTCCCTCCCTCCCCTGCTGGCGACTGCGAATAAACCAGACCCAGACTTTGCGCGCTCAGGCTGAAATGCCACCAGCAGTCGGGCCCCGGGCCGGAAACCTCCCCGACGCGGGGCCGCAGGCAGGGGAAGGGGCGGGCGCAGGCTGCGGGGCCAGCACGGAGGATGCACACGGGGCTCCTGGGGCTCTCGGCCCTGCTGCAGGCGGCCGAGCAGAGCGCGCGTGAGTGCTGCAGCCGAGGCTGTGCTCACCCCTGCAGCCCCCCACCCAACCCTGGCGCCTCGGGCGGCCTGCGCCCAGCACTGCACGCCAGCGATGCACGGGGGTAGCCACCCCACCTGCCGAGCACGCTCGCCAGTCTTTAGTGGACGCCCACGCATGCACGATCTCCCACGGATGCATGACTTTCTTCCACCCATGCTCGGTCCCCTGCCCCCTGACGGACGCTAAACCCACGCACGACCCTCCCCCACCCACAATGCATGACTTTCCTCCACCCATGCTCGGTCCCCCGCCCCCATGCACGACCCCCCACTATGCCCCCCACGGATGCAAGATCCCCTCGCAGAGCCAGGGGAGATGTATCCATCCTTCCCTCCAACACAAGCTTTGCAAAGTGCTAGGATGCCAAGATGTGCTCAGCGCGAGTCTGGGGGCGCCCGGGCTCTCCCCCGACCCTGGCAGGCCAGGGGAACCCTGAGGCTTGGAGGCCGCTCGCAGGAGGGGTGGCGGGGGCAGGGGCATGGCTCTGTAGGACGGCGACTTCGCTTCAGGGTTTAGGACAGGGTGGAAGCGGCCCTTCGGGGACACCTCAGACCCGGGGGATCCCAGAGCGCCCAGCCGCGGCGGAGCAAGATGGCCCCATTTTTCGCGCCCTTCGGGTTTGAACTGGTAACTCCTTCGGTGCCGAGAGGAGCGTCTCTGCCTACTTCCTTTGGGCTCCCTGCGGACGCCTCTTCCGGGGCAGACTCTCTGATGGGGTAGAGGGGGGACCCAGGGGCCGCTGGCTCGGGACTGTTCCCTGAGTTCACAGGCGGCGTCCCTGCCAGTCCTGCTGTTTCCGAGGCGCGCAGAGCAGGACGCTCACCTAGGACGCCCATGCGCCCGGACTCCACGCCCCGGGCGGAGCAGGAAGGGCTGAGATAGGACCCGCAGGGATTGGTGCCCACCACAGCTGTCCTCCTCTGCCCCCTAGCCGGGAATGGCCTGGGCCGCAGCATTCCCCAGCCTGGCAGGCCGGGTCTGCGCCTGAGGCTTTTGTGCAGGGGAGGCTGCCCAGGACTCTTGGGGTGGTGAGAGCCGGACCCAGCCTGCGCACCTAGGAAGGACTGCTAAGCCCCGACCCCGCTGTCCAGAGCTGCAGCGTCTATAGCTGTGCCTCGGGGCAGTTTGCGCAGTTTCCCCAAAACTCGCGGCTTGTGTTCATTCATCCGCTTAGAACTTTACTGTTAGAAAACCCAAGAAACAGTGGAAGGATGCCTGTGTGCTATACCCCTACCGGTGCCTGGCCCCCACGACCAGCCTGAGACAACCTTTAGGAGCCGGGGCTGCTTCCACGGGAGTATGGGGGAGGTCCAGAGTTCCAGGCCAGGGAGTTCCCATGGGAAAGTAGAAGAGGGACCCCACAGAGCGAGCTGTGATCATTCATGTGGAGTCCAGACTGCACAGGGACTAACAGTTCAGTGGTGTGGAGTTACTGACTGGGGAGTGCAGATCCTCTCCACTGTGACCGTACCCAACCACAAACAAGCAGACCAGAGAGGAGGTTCCATCGTTCTCCAGGACTCACTAGATGCTAGGCACTTGGCACAGGTCGTAACTCATCCAGCAGCTCTGGAAAGCCGGGCACTGTCATTCAGCGCATGCTGTCCCTGTGGCCAGAAGCCCTGCCGGCTCCCAGGCTGCTCCTAGGAGACTCTTTCTGGTGGTGGGGACATTGCATTGGTTGGTTACTGTTTTGTTTTGTTTTGAGAAAAGAGTCTCACTCTTTGGCCCAGGCTGGAGTGGGGTGGTGCAATCTCAGTGCACTGCAAACTCCACCTCCTGAGTTGAAGCCATTTTCATACCTCAGCCACCCCTAGTAGCTGGCATTACAGGCACACAGTCACCACACCTGCTAATTTTTGTATTTTTAGTAGAAAGGGTGTTTCACCATGTTGCCCAGACTGGTCTTGAACCCCTGACGTCAAGCGATCTGACCCCCTCAGCTTCCCACAGTGCTTCGGTTTTGTTTCGTTGAGACAGAGTCTCACTCTGCCACCAGGCTGGAGTTCAGTGGTGTGATCTCGGCTCACTGCAACCTCTGCCTCCAGGGTTCAAGCAATTCTCCCACCTCAGCCTCCCAAGTAGCTGAGACTGCAGGCACACACCACCATGATCAGCTTATTTTTGTATTTTCAGCAGATAGAGATGGGGTTTCACCACGTTGGCCAGAATGGTCTTGATTTCTTGACCTCATGATCCACCCGCCTCAGCCTCCCAAAGTGCTGGGATTACAGGTGTGAGCCACCGTGCCCGGTGGTTTTGTTTTTAATGAGACAGTTAGGTGTGGCTCCAAGACGAGGCACAGGAGAGGCTCTGGAATGCAAAGCCTGTTGTGCTCCCAGGTCCTAGGACAGGGGACATGGCACTCCATGCTGGGCCACAGGCGAGTGTCACCAGGGTGGTCAGGAGGCAGGAGACAGGAACCAACAAGGGAATTTGAGGCCAGACCTTTAGCTGGGGCAGGGCACCAGCTTCGGATTAGCTCTTTGGATAATTTCTGTGGCTTTGGGGTATAACAGTGATCCCTAGCAGCCTGGCATTAGGCCCTGGGATGATGAAAGCAAAAGAACCTTGCCTTCTGGGAGGTATGGGCCAGGCAGGGGAGGTCTGGCTCTGGCTAGATTTAGTTCGCATGTCAAAGGCAAGCTCCTGCCTGGGCCCTTTGCTGGCTCAAATAATTGCTAGCCTTGGGGAGGGGCAGTCACTCCCGTCAGAAAAGCTTTAAGAGGTCAGAACATCCTAACATCCAGAAAATGTTAAATTATTTAAAATGCAGCTACCCAGTCTCACTCCAGCCTTCCACTTACCTGCCTGCCTTTCCTCTTCTCCCCCAGGCCTCTACACTGTGGCTTACTACTTCAGCACCGGACGGCTTCTGTGGGGGTGGCTGGCCCTTGCAGTCCTCCTGCCTGGGTTCTTGGTCCAGGCCCTGAGCTACCTGTGGTTCCGAGCAGACGGGCATCCAGGGCATTGGTCCTTGGTGATGCTGCACCTCCTACAGCTTGGCGTTTGGAAGCGGTAAGAACAGCTGCCTCTTCCTCTGGTGCACAATTGCACAAGTGCAGTAGAAGGATTCTTCTGTCCCTGTGGATTCTGTCCTCAAGGTCATCAAAGTTCAGCATTGGGAAGAGGTTCAAAGCCGCCGTGTCAAACCCCTGCTCTGATAGTAGCACCCCAGGTCCGGCCTACACACTGTTGAGCATCTTCAACCTCAGGGGCTTTCTCTGTGCAGCTGGGACCTTACGAAAAGCTTTCTCTTGCCTTCAGTTGAAGTCCTGTCTCGCTGTTTTGTTGGTTGAGACTTTAGCTCTATGTAAAGCAAGTTGCTTAAGGCACTTCGACCTACACACTATCACCTTCAAACAGGAAGGTGGCATAGCTTCAGTGAACCACAGGCTAGACAGTGAAGCCAGCCTGGCGACATTGGCTTCAAGACTCATACCAGGAAAAAGTCATTTGGACGCCAGGGGCAGTTTTTTTCTGTAGAGAAGTAGCCAGGGGTGGTTCTGGGGCGCAGTGGGCTTATCCGTGATCCACAGCCCATCTCGGCAGGTGAGGGCTCATTCTTCCTACGTTGAGAACCTGGATTCAAGGAGCTATCGGAAGAGATGAGTGCCAGTGAGTTTACATCAAGGGCACGTTTCAGTGTCAGCTGCCTCATAATTCTGTTGGGTTGACAGGGACTTTTTTAAGGGAGAAAAATTCAGGGACCAAAGCAGCAAAGCCCTGCAGCTCAAGTGTTGATTAAATCATAGGCACTGAGGGTGGAAGGGTGTTCAGGGGGTGACGGCCAATGCTGCTCTGGGTCCTGGGGATTTATGCTTCCACGCTATTCCCAAGACTTTCTCTGGAGGCACTGAAATGAGTGTTGAGCCCCACAGAGAGCATCATTGCGAGTAGGGAGTGAGGCCGCCCTGCCCAGAGCAGAATATCAGCCAGGAGGTAGAGGGTGCTTCTGAGAAAGACCTCATGTACCCACTCTCAATTTCACTGGACCCTCAGAGTTGGAGCCTAAATCTCTAACAGCACCAAAAGCACACTTGCAGCTGCAGCCATTTTGCCAAAAACTGGGCCTTTGTTTCAAGCAGTGCCCTTCCTCTGAAAAGATAGGGTCCTTCTTTCCATGGGAAAGAAGGCAGAGAAGGGGCTTTCCAAGGGCCTCATAGGATTAGAGCCTCTCCTGTGGCCTAGCTGCCACTGTCGGCCCCTTACCTGATTGGCCCATCCCAGTAATAAATCCGTAAGGACATTGGGTCTTATTTGGCTTTCACCCTCACCCTCACAGTCATAAGGCATGAGCCCTTGAGGACAGACGGGCTGTTGAGTGAGTCAGTTACCAGGAGCTCACGTTTGGTATCCCAAAGAGACAGGTAAGCCCAGGTGGTGACTTAGAGAAGCTTCCTGGGTAATGGTTAGACAAATCTGCCTTCTGAAGCTGTGTGGACCCTCAGGCCCCATGGAATCTGCTGCCTTCCTCAGAGATGGGGACCGCCAGGGGACCACAGTGTGTCCAAATTCATGCCGCTGTTATTTCACCATGGACGCCACACTGTCTTTCCCGTGTGCTCTGAATTTTCTTAAGTGATGCCATGACTTTCTGGTAGATATCAAAAAACTAACTTGAATAATCTGGTGTATATTAGTGAATTCATATAGATAGGTGAAGAGAGACATGGACATTAGAAATTGGGAAAACAATTAGTCATGTATATTTATCCTTATTTTCAAAAAGAAGTTAGGTGACTTTAAAAGTACACATCAAAATTTAAAAGAACAAAACAGAAAAGACGTGAGAAAGGCCAGGTAGAGAGATGAAATGTTGGAAACCAGGATAGAACCACAATGCACAGTTACTGGAAGCGAGTCACAATTTGGCCCTAAGGTTTATAACAGCCAGTGCAAGCATAAAAGCCGCAAGATCTGCAGTGTTTCTCAGGTTAAACATGAACCAAAAAACAGAAATTTACTTCCTTAGAGGAAAACTTTGAATGTTAAAATAGGAAGCAGTAGATCTATTCCTCATCCTGAAACTAGCATATTCGGTTCAAAGAAAACATTAAGTAGTTTTTTAAGATGGGGTTTCACCATGATGGCCGGGCTGGTCTTGAACTCCTGACCTCAGGTGATCCCACCCACCTCAGCCTCCCAAAGTGCTAGGATTACAGGCATGAGCCACTGCGCCCAGACACTAAGTACTGTTTTTGATGAAGCAACCCGGTTTTGCAAATTGCAGTTCTGCAAAAAGACCTGTAGGGGGAGCCAAAACAATTGTGTTTTGCACAATTTTGAATCGCCTAAGAATAGGTCCCTTTGAGTGTCCTCCTAACAAAATACAAAAGAATCTACTAACTGGGAAGCCAGTAAAACACAAACCTCATGAGGTAAAGTTGCTTAGAAAAATGAAAGGATATGGCCAGGCATGATAGCTCACACCTGTAATCCCAGCGCTTTAAGAGGTGGAGGCAGGCTGATCTCTTGAGGCCAGGAGTTTGAAACCAGCCTGGCCAACATGGTAAAACCCCATCTCTACTAAAAATATAAAAATTAGCCGGGCTTGGTGGCACATGCCTGTCATACCAGCTGCTTGGGAGGCATGAGAATTGCTTGAACCTGGAAAGCAGAGGTTACAGTGAGCTGAGATGGCACCACTGCACTCCAACCTAGGCAGCAGAGAGACTCTGTCTCAATAAATAATTAAATAAAAGCAAGGATTTCAGCCACAAATGTATTCTTTTTAAAGTTCCCAATAATACACACTATGTTAATTTTAAGTCTGACTCTGTTCAAGAGAAACTGACATTAGTGACTACTTAAAGAAAGACAATTACTTTTTTCTATTTAGGTTTTTTTTTACTTCCACTTTAATACTGTATATTACCAACATCTTTTTCATCTTCCTTTTTAAGAAAGATGGTTTTTTCATCTTTTTGTTCTCCAAAGAGATGACAACACACAGTACCTTGCAACAAACATCTGCCGATAAATGAATTCCGGTCCCAGGAGGATCTGGGGTGGGGACTCAGGTCAGGGTGACTGCTGAGCCCCATCGAGTGGGCAGCCTGGGCTCTCTTGCCATGCAGCCACTCCAGCTCAAAGAGCCCTCGGGTCAGATATTGGCTCCCAGCCTGCCCCCACCCTCCCCAGACATGGGGAGAGTGTGGCCTGGCAGAGCCCCATGGGACTTGGGAAACTTACATAGAACTGACGTCTTCTGCTTGCAGTCAGAGCCTGGCAGCAGCCTAACTTGTAGCTCTTGGGAACTAGTAAGGGCATAGGATATTGCTTAGGCTGTTGTATGTCTCTGAATGAAAGGAGGTCCCATTGAAGCTCGCCACAGTCTGGCTCCATGTCATGTGCCCTCCGCTGTTCCCTAGGCACTGGGATGCTGCACTGACTGCTCTGCAGAAGGAACAGGAGGCTCCCCATCGAGGCCAGCTGCAGCTGCAGGAGGCCGACCTGTCGGCCCTTCGACTCTTGGAGGCCTTGCTGCAGACCGGGCCCCACCTGCTGCTTCAGACATACGTGTTTCTAGCCTCAGACTTCACAGATATTGTGCCAGGTGAGCAGCTTTCACCATGGAGCACAGACTGCCTGACTGCCTAAGGGGGAGGGGAACGCGAGCCTGTTGAGCAAAACCCTCCCCTCGAGATTTCCTCTGCTTAGGAGAACCAGGACACCTGGAGCTCACTGGCCCACAATGATGCATCAAATTGGCTTTTGCTGCTGCACTGGGCTTACAGAGAGTTGGCTTCCTTCTTTCCTAAGGGTTATGTTCGAAAGTCAGTTCATAAGATAGAAATTGCCCATAATCAAAATTATCCTGAAAATACCTTGGAAAGGCTGCCTCTCAGTAAACTCAGCGCACAGGTTTTTCTTGTATTTTTAATCATTAGAGTTATTCTTGGCAGGACACAATGCCTCACACCTGCAGTCCCAGCACTTGGGGAAGCCGAGGTGGATGGACTGCTTGAGCCCAGGAGCTCAAGACCAGCATAGTGAAAACCCATCTCTACAAAGAAATACAAAAGTTAGCCAGGCATGGTGGCATGCAGTTGTAGCCTCAGCTATTCAAGAGGCTGAGGTGGGAGCATCACTTGAGGCCAGGAGTTTGAGGCTGCAGTGAGGTGTGATTGCACCACTGTACTCCAGTGCAGGTGACAGAGAATGAGGCCCTGTCTCAAAAAAAAAAAAAGTAATTCTTAACAAAGCCAGAAGCTTACACCCTCAGAGCATGCGGAAACAGAACAACTCAGGCCCCAGCAACGTTTGTTTCCAGCTCCCACTATTTCAGGACATTCACATTCTCTGCCTGTTCTCTCAGTTGCCTCTTTTTTCTCTCCCCGCTCCCTCCTGCCATCCCCTTCTCTTCCCTCCCCTTCCTCCCCTCCCAACCTCCCCGCTTCCGTATCTTCGTCTCTCCCTTCCTGTTTGCCAAGTGTCCACAATTGTATATGCATAAATTAAATACTTGACATAGATGACAGTGCTGTTCTTCTAGCCATCTTTATCAAATGGCCTGACACCCTTCGATGTTTTCATTCGAACAGCAAAGTACATTTGGGGTGGAATCATGTGCAGAGCCCTGTAGGATCAGCTTTGTTATATACAGAGGCCTCAGAAGATCAGGATTTGGAACGTTTTTTCTTAACGGGCATAGAAAGAAAGAGTCCAGCTCATTTGCTGGGAAGAGCATTTGCTACACTGTGCAGTGCAAATACTTCCTACATATCCCCGTTTCTTCCTGAATATAAACACGTGTATTTGGAAACAGTTATGTTACCTATTGGTCAAGGTGCTGGGTTAGTGATACCCTCTGTGCGGCCAGGCTTTAACAAGAGGCTACATGTCCCATTAAAGAAATGCCATGAGTGAGTCTTCACATGGTGCGATGCTTTCTGAACCTTCAGAGCATACCATGTCTTTCTGCTTCCCTTGCAGGGGTGAGTGCGCTGTTCTCCTGGTCCTCACTCTCCTGGGCACTGGTGTCCTACACTCATTTCATGGGCTTCATGAAGCCAGGCCACCCGGCCATGCCATGGGCCGCCCTCTTCTGCCAGCAGCTCTGGAGGATGGGCATGCTGGGAACACGCGTGCTGAGCCTGGTTCTGTTCTACAAAGCCTACCACGTTTGGGTTTTTGCGGTTGCAGGTGAGCTGAGCTAATGATCTCGTCATCTGCTGCTGCGTAACACACCAACCTGGAAAGGAATGCCTCAAGAATAACCAGTTAGGATCCTCAATCCCAGGCCTGAGGGCGGACTGGGCTCTCTGCTGAATGGACCTTGCTCGGGGGGCCTCAGAGATGGCAATGGGGTACCAGGTGTTCAGATTCATAGGGAGCCTTGATGGGAATTAGCAGCTGAGAATTCCAGTGGAGAGGAACTGGAAACCGCCAGTCTTCTGTAAAAACAGGCTTAGAACTGGCTCGGCACTGCTTCCGCTGTATTCTGTTGGTCAAACCAAGCAGAGCCAGCCCAGATTCAAGAGCATGGGGGACTAGACTGCTGCTCCAGATAAATACATATCCAGAGCAGGAAAGAACGCATCCTGGCTGTCTTGGGAAATACCCTGCCATAGCTCAGACATCCCAGCCCTCAAAACTCCCAGCTAACTCTGGAGCAGAGAACTACTCAAGAGACTGTTCTGTGTTATAGGCTGAAATATTTTATATAGAAAAACTGTCACCCAAACAGAAGGGAGGTACAGGGTGCCACCTGCCTCACTTGATCAGTATATATGTGATACTGATCCCAAAACATGCAGTGTATATGTGATACTGCAAATAGCCTCCCAAAATGCACCATTCCCTTGGAATGCTGAATCTCGAACATCTCCTCTGTTGCAAATAGCACAGCCCCACTAAACCCAAGCGCTCCCTCCTCCCTCAGTCTAGGCACACACAATCTGAATGGCAATGACAGAGTCTCTCTGGCTATGGAGACTCCCTGAATAGGGCCTGTGTGTCCCTGCCAAGGGGAGCTGTCATCTCTGGTCATCAGTGAATATACAAGAAGGAACAGGGCACTCTTGTTTGAAAAGAATTGGACACATTAAGAACTATTTGGCCCTTGGGCCTGGAGCAAACATTAAATACAGTTATTGGCAGGAAAGAATTTTTTTTTGAAAAAGAAAAAAAAACAAACTGTGCTCCCGAAGAGAGATTACCTATTTTGTTATTCTTTTTTTTAAAAACTCAGCTTGAAATCCAGAATGCTTTATTCATCTTAAAACATGGGAATAAAAAGTTGCAGCTGCACCTGAGAGTTCTCCGCTTTGGGTTTGGAGGTTTCTAGCTCTCGTAACAATTTAAAAATAATTGGCAGTTTTATAATTGCCCCCTTAAACACATTCTGGAACAAAACAGGCACACGTATACAATATTTGGCAAGTGTTATTGAAGCTAGTCTGTTTTCTCATCTTCAAATTAGATCAGATGCACTTTACGTGGATACAACAGGAGAATATATGCACAGCTAAACTGTGCTGGTTTTCTGTGCCCCTCACATCTCTTCTGGGTCTTCTGATGGCTCTTCCTGGATGCTGAGTCAAATGTGGTGGGAGAGGAGGGCTTCCAGTCCCTGCTATCTGTGCCCTTGCCCCTTCCTGGATGCTGAGTCAAATGTGGTGGGAGAGGAGGGCTTCCAGTCCCTGCTATCTGTGCCCTTGCCCCTTCCTGGATGCTGAGTCAAATGTGGTGGGAGAGGAGGGCTTCCAGTCCCTGCTATCTGTGCCCTTGCCCCTTCCTGGATGCTGAGTCAAATGTGGTGGGAGAGGAGGGCTTCCAGTCCCTGCTATCTGTGCCCTTGCCCCTCCCCCATCTCCCTGCGTGGATCGTGACATCCGCACCCGGCCTCTGTGCAGGTGCCCACTGGCTGGTGATGACATTCTGGCTCGTCGCCCAGCAGAGTGACGTCATCGACAGCACCTGCCACTGGAGGCTGTTCAACCTGCTCGTGGGAGCCATCTACATCCTCTGCTACCTCAGCTTCTGGGACAGCCCTTCCAGAAATAGGATGTTCACGTTCTACATGGCAAGTGGCACTTCTCTTTATCCTAACATTTACACTGTATGCAGCAACTGGAGGGGTGTGTGGGTGTGTGTGCATGCACTGGTGTATGCCTAGCTCTTGAAGAAAGAATAGCTTCATTTAGGAAAAATCCTTAAAGGAATTATAGTCTTGAGCAGAGACGACAGGCTTTGAAAACAGTAACCCAACCTCTAGTTGTGGCCCCCAAAGTCACTGGGTGACAGCTGAGGTGGGTCTGGTGATGTCTTCTCTACATCAGCCCACATGCTGAGTATCATTACAGCTCAGCTGTATTACATCATATACTCAATGTCTTTGTTAATCAACTCCATTTTTACTGGGTGTTTATGATGAAGATCCAGGCATGGCCCCTAGAGAGTATCAGAAACACAAAAAGTGGCCTAATACTTCTTCATGTGGCTTCGAGTCCAGTGGATTTCTTCCTATTTAAAAAGAAATTGTAATCTTTGGTAAGTAAGCACCCAAATAACTGAAATAAGGAAGAATGTGGCTGGATTCCAGGAGAAAAAAAATGTCTGGGACTCACAGGAGTAGCGGCCGGCACCACCTCTCGGGATGACCAGAGACGCCTTTAGCTGAACAGTGGAGTTGTAATGAGCAGAGGAGAGAGAATGCCACCACGCGGCGTTTTCACCAGAGGTACACAGATGTAGGTGCTCTGAAAGAGAAATAAACAACTTACAATAAATGGAAGAGACGTCGGGGGCAAGAAAAGAGAGAAAGAAAAGAGGAAGGAAGGAAGAAGGGAGAGAGGAAGGAAGGGGAGGAGGAAGGAAGCGGCTTTTGGAGTCAGGAGAGTTTGCACTGGAGCCCAGCTCTGCTGACAGCTACCACCAGCTGGCTTCAGCCAAGAATTTAAACTCTCTGAACCTACTTTTTCACACACACACACACACACACACACACACACACACACACACACGGGATAGATCACCACCCTCTCAGTATTCCTGTGGAGATTAAGTAAGATCTACATAGTTTCAGGGTTTCTATGACAGACATAAGTATGTGGCACATCATAACCCATACGTTGTAGCCGTTATGAATATGAAAAGGCGAGTCAGGCATTCCAGGGTGGAGACCTGGGTGAAGGTAAAGGCAGGGATGCAGCTCCTGTCCCGGGAAGGGGAGCGTCCTGGACGCCTGCTGATTTTAGGACCGCAGAGCACAGCGACCCCAGAGGCTGTGGAGCCAGACGGAGCTTGTAGGACTTGCAATGTTGGACGCATTACTGAACCTCACCGACTTCTGCTTCCACGTCTGAATGCCGAGCATAACAGCATGCATGTTGTGGATATGTTCACCTGGGACAGAGCCCAGGTCATGCATGAGCAGCCTCCCAACACACATGATCCCTGCGGGAACAAAGTGGAATCTTGATTTTCTCATCCAGTTTGCCGAAGTGGCTTATTCATAGGTGGACACCCTGTCTGAGCATGCCCAGATAGGCAGGAGCTCAGTAAGGAGGAACCGGACACCTGCTGCCCTGTTTATCCTTCTTTCTTCCCAGCTGTCTCACATAGTCACTGGATCACTGAGTCAAGAGTGATGAAACAGGAGAAACAGCAATCAGACACCATCACGTTCAGAGTAGGATCTGCCACAGTGGCACGAGCATCCCCATCTCTCTCCCTGTGCACAGACTGTCCAGGGTGGGCAGTCCTAGCCTGGTGGCCTGGATCCCAGCAGCACGTGGTAGGGAACATGGGTTTTAGGCCTTGGTGCCCAACCAGTTAGGGCTTGACGCCTGGATCGTTCGGTTCTGAACTGTATGAGAGTCATCAGGGACCCCCCTGCCCCTGCACCCAGTTTTTGCATCTCTGAAATGATTGTTGCTAAATTGATAGATGACAGATAGAAAGCCAAGTGCCTGTCAGAGGTAGACAGATGTAGGTGCTCTGAAAGATAAATAAATAATTTACAATAAATGGAAGAGACGTCGGGGGCAAGAAAAGAGGGAAAGAAGGAAAAGAGGAAGGAAGGAAGGAAGAAGGGAGAGAGGAAGGAAGGGGAGAGGAAGGAAGTGGAGGGCAAAGATGTCCTACCCCACCAGAAAGAGGTGAAATAGCTCCCAGGATAACCCGTTAAACTACTCACATTTCAAGACAGCCTGCCAGTCGCATTCCATGGTGGGGCTGTAGCCAGGGAGCTGTAGAAAAGGTGGAGGGGACAGGTGGGCGTGCTCACCCCACACTGCACCACACAGCTGGCCAGACCTAAATCTGGGCCCCTCTTTGTGGCAGGCAGTGATGGGCAGCCCTGGCTCCGTGACATGGGCCACTCAGAGCTCAAGGCAGCCTCTCCCGCTGTTCCTCAACACCCTCAGCTAATCTCCGTGGATTCAATGTGGCTGACAACGCCTGAAGCCAATACCTCTGGGCAGGTTGGCAATACCCAGACTGTGCTCTTGGAAGCCAGAGGCCACACTGCAGGGGACACACCGAGGCGCCACCCCGAGAGGTGCACCCTGCTGGCACAGACCCGTGCTGCCATCTGAAATCATTCCCTTCTGCAGAGGGTGCTGGGACCCTCGCAGCTCCAGCCCTTGAGACAGTGGGTTGCACAGGAAAGAGGCTGACAGAGCCCAGGCCCTGGGTGGGCCCTGGAAGAGGCCCAGGGCCATCCCAAGCATCACCCACCTATGCTGAGCCGATTCCTGGGCCACTGCAGAGTGTATCACCCCCACATCCCTTCAAGTAAGAACATAAGGTGTTTTGATTTTGATTTTATTCTTGTTGTTTTTGAGACAGAGCTCGCTCTGTTGCCCAGGCTGGAATGCAGCAGTGCCATTATACAGCTCACTGCAGCCTCGACCTTCTGGGCTCAAGTGATCCTCCCACCTCAGCCTCCGGAGTAGCTGGGATCACAGGCACATGCCAACATGCCTGGTTAATTTTTACACTTGTTTGTAGGCCACTGCCTGGCAGGGGTGCAGGAGGTTTCTGCTGGAAGGACCTGGCAGGGGTTGGGGGCTGGGGGCCTCCAGTGAGCCAGGCCACAGCCCTGCTGGTTGTCAGCGGCACTCAGGGGGGCTTCTCTAAAGTGGGGATTCCCTGGCTCTCTTCAGAGATTCTGACTCAGTAGGTGTGAGTGGGGCCTGGGAATCCATGTTTGGAGACAGCTGCAGGTGGCGCTATGACCGGCCTAGCTCAAGAGCTACTCAACTGTCCTCACCTCCTGCTCAGAGGCAGAAGCCAGCCTCTCCATCATTTCCGAACATAACATATGACCCGGTCTCACTTCTTTCACTCGTCACGGGTTTATTCACGCCAGCACACATTCAGCCTCCTCCTGTGCTAAAATGGAATTAGGCACCACAGTGTGAGAGGCTCATGTCTCGGTGTCCACAAAGGCATCAGCAAATCCGTGCGGCCACTGTGATCAGAGAAGTGACACTATCAAAACCCCACAGGACATGAGAGGCAGAGCCTGGGAAAGTAGGGGAAGGGTTTACAGAGGGGACACAAGCGAGGTGCTGTGTGGTGAGCACAAGGTTTACCTGAAGAAAAGGTGTGGAGGGTGGGGCTGGGACGTTTCAGGCAAAGCTGCAGAAGCAACGGAAAGACCCTGGAGCGTCCGGAAATCCACAGGAAAGTGGTATGCGCAGCGTCAGCGAGAAACGGAGCCTGTGCTAGTTAAAAGCAGTGAAAACACACTGCACTCAGCCTATCGCCGTAGGCAAGAGCGCCCTGCATGAACTGAGCCCACCGGCAAGGCGTGCAGAGGGGACGCGGGGTTAAAAGGGAGGCAGGAGGAGGAATATGGAGGGGCTTGGGCAGAGTCAGGGAAGTGGAAATTCACAAAACGCAGGAAAGTGGGATCACACGCGCGAGCGCACCATGTGCGTTTGTTAACTGGCTCCTGCCACTCGTTGGGAGCAGAAACAAATTTCTCATTTCTTTATGACAGGAGGCAGGAGGCAGTCACTTTACAGCAGGTCCACAGAGGCATCAGCAGATCTGTGCGGCCACTGTGGCTTGGAGTTTATATTTAAATAGACGGCTCCTGGGTTCTCGAGGAGACAGTTCTGGGTAATAGAAGATGTCTATCTCGCAGCACAGCCAAATGATTTGCAATTCCAGGTTTCTATAGTAACTGCTCTGAAAGCAAGTCCAGGGTCCCTTTGGTCCAGCACCAAGTTTTGGCCAGAACAAACAGTACATTCTCCTGGCAGCATCGAGCTTTCTTAGGCAGGAACTTAAAGGAGACTGAGGTCTGTGTGGTAGAGGCGAGACCTTGAGCTGCTGGAAACTCTGTCCATGTTCGCTCAAGTCTCTCGGTGTGGGGAGGTGAGGAGAGTCATATGTGCTGAGTCTGGAGCCCTCACTGGCCAGGGTTGAAAAGAAAGCCCAGAGGAGCCTGACTGGAGTTTGGTTGAGGAAAGACTCTTTTTCAGTGGAACGTCATTTGGGGAGAGTCTGCTGGAAGATGACCCCAGAAAGGAAAATTGGGGTTAACTGGCAAACAGGGACATCTGCACTGTTGAGAAGTGGGGACTGTAGGCCAGGAGCTGTGGCTCACGCCTATAATCTCAGCACTTTGGGAGGCTGAGGCAGGCGGATCACCTGATATCAGGAGTTCAAGACCAGCCTGACCAATATGGAGAAACCCCATCTTTACTAAAAATACAAAAATTAGCCAGGCATGGTGGTGCATGCCTGTAATCCCAGCTACTCAGGAGACTGAGGCAGGAGAATTGCCTGAACCCGGGAGGTGGAGGTTGTGGTGAGCCAAGATCACACCATTGCACTCCAGCTGAGGCAACAAGAATGAAACTACATCACACACACACACATACACACACACAAAAGAGAGAGAGAAGTGGGGACTGGATCCCGAGTGAAAGTGGGACTGTTTAGAGGTGCATGGGGGAGAAATGGGAAGGTACAATCTCTGGGTGAAGCAGGTCACCGCAACATTGGTGCAGAGGAGAGATTTCAGAGAGAGAATGAAGACAGGAGGCATGGGGCCAGAACCACAAAAATGGTGGGAAAGACAGAAGGCAGGTGATGGAGTTGGGACAAACTGAAGAGTCTGAGCCACCAGAACCACGCCACTGAGGAGTGGGGAGAGGAAGATGCCTTCTCTACTGGCTGCTGGCCACGGCATTTAGTACAGAATTCCTGCCCAGGACATTTGTAAGATGACAAAGCAGCTCCTCATCATTTTTTATTTCTCTTTTTATTTGAATTTTTGAGAGTGAAAACAAAGCCAATGAATAACCCTGGCACATCTTTTGAAGACTTTTAGAAAATCAGCATATAATTGATTATTTAAAAATAAATAACATACACAGTATTTAAATATATCTTCTTTATGTCGAGCTCGTTTACTTATTTTAATGAAGACATATATTTTTATATTTAAAAATTGGAAAGGAAAGTTAATAAGGCGACCCAGATTTGCATACCATGCGCCTTCTGGACTATCTGCCATTTTGCTCAGCTGTGGCCTCCGGGCCAGGCCCCTTTGTCAGCCCTCGAGCTCCCATCTCCGGCTGCCACCTGGTGGCCGCAAGGCGAATTTACCTGGTGGCTGCAAAGAAAAAAAAAAAAAAAATCCTGAAGTTATTAGAAAGTTTGTGACCTTAGCTTCCTGGAGTTTGGTGGCATCATGAGCTCTGCAGCTACCTTTAATTACAACATTAATGCGTGCCTGCAGTTAGCGCGAGGATGGAGAAATATGCAAAGTAGAAATAAAAGTCTCCTCTCAACCCAGACTGACTCTAAAGACAGTCCCCAGCCATTTGAGGAATGCCCTGATACTTCCTGGGCCTTTATGATTCTGCAGACATTTTAATGAACCACCCTGAGGACAGGAAGGCTCTCTGTTTGCCAGAAAAGCTCTTAGTGGGACGTAGCTCTGCTCCTGGGTAGGCCCAGCAGCCTGGGGTTCCCAGTGGGCACCCAGGATGGAGGGGAGGGGGAGTGGCTACACTCACAGGATGGGGCATCCCTTGGGTGGGGTGCACCTGGTGAGGTGTGGGGCTCTCCCCTGGGTCCTACAGGTCATGCTGCTGGAGAACATCATCCTGTTGCTGTTGGCCACGGACTTTCTCCAGGGGGCGTCGTGGACCAGCCTGCAGACCACAGCGGGGGTCCTGTCTGGATTTCTCATTGGTGAGACCCAATGTCGCTTTCTTATCTACATCCCCTCCCTCAACCTATTTTTTTGTTTTACAATGGGCTCAAAGAGCAGGAAACTGAGTTCAGACGTGGTTCACCGGAGACCGGGGAACCAGGCTCACTGCACTGTGGGTGGCACAGCCATGCCCATCAGAGCATTAGACACTGAGCTCAGCCTCATCTGCCTTGCTCAACTGTGCTCTGAACCTCACACAAAACTGGGGCTGCCCCCCTCGACCCCAAAGCCCCCATCCTCCCCGGAGCTCCTGCAGGGTTAAGGACGTGACTTCCGTCTCCCCTCCCACCTTGGGGAGCTCCTTGAATCCTCCTGACGTGGCACCTGCAGCCCATAGGAAAGCACCCTGGGAGGTTGGTGCCCTCGCAGTGGAAGAGAGGAAGGGGAGGCACAGAGGAGGTCGAGTCCCCAGAAGATTCGATGGTTTGTGACAGATAGAGCTGAGACTCAAGCCCGGCTCCAATGCAGGCCTCAGCACAGGCCTGGCAGCTGCCATCAGCCATGTTTTATGAATGCATGGCCCCAAGGTCTGTGCTGTGCCCACGGTGATAACCTCACTTCCCAGATTGGCATGAGCTCTGCAGGGATTCCACCCCCCTCTTGAAAGGTGCCCACACCAGCCTGATCTCCTAGCACAGCGGGCTCACTGCTACCTCTGCCTCCTGGGTTCAAGCAATTCTCCTGCCTCAGCCTCCCAAGTAGCTGGGACTACAGGCGCATGCCACCACGCTCAGCTAATTTTTTGTATTTTTGGTAGAGATGGGATTTCATCGTGTTAGCCAGGATGGTCTTGATTTCCTGACCTAGTGATCCGCCTGCCTCAGCCTCCTGAGCCACCGCGCTCAGCCCAGCTCCTTGCTTTCTATGGCTAAGTCATGCTCCACGGTTTGGACAGACCACAGCTTGTTTCATCATTGCTTTGTACTTTTTTAAATCATCATTTGAATAGCAGATCACTGATTTCTAAGCTGCATATGTGGATAAATGGCCTCTGGGAAGCTGAGGACATTGGGCTGCCCAGGTGAGAAGCACCTCTCTCACCACACTGCACGGTGATCTGGGTGTTCCTGGCACATTTCAAGCAATCCTTCCTTCAGGGAGGGGCCATGTGATACTGGAATGAAGGGGTCTTGCCAGCCAGGAGGTCTAACAACTAATTCAGATTTTCCAGCTCAGGGGAGGTATAGCTGAGCCCGGGGGACACTGTGGTGGAAGGGAAAAGTGCACCCTCATCTCCTTTCTGGATTTTAACACTAATTCAGAAAAGATGTCCCACACCAGTCTGAAGACCTGTCACACTCCTGGGAGTGGACACCTGGTTTCCTTCCAGTTTCACTCCAGTGAGAAGGCATTTTCACAGCCGAATGCTGGCTCATGGCACAGCAGGAGGGCAGTGAGCAGGAAACTCATAGCCACGGGTAGCACCAAGCACCCGGGTGGCCGCCAGCTTACAGCCAGGTCTGCCCATCCTCCTCTGGCCTCTGATGGAGCTGTCAAACGCCTAGCTCCCAGGTGACCCTTGGGAATTTTCGGTGGGAAGATCCAACACAAATTATAGTCCAAAGAGCACAAGCTGGCATCCAGGCTCCTCCCCTTTTCCTTCTATCCTGTGACCAACATTCATTGAGTACCAACTGTGTGCCAGCCTGGGGATGCCACCAGGAACCCCCAAATGACATGGCCCCCGGAAAGTCTGTGTTTGCTGAATAAGGGTTCCCAGGACTTCTGTGATCAGGGCCTTTGTTCATCTTTCCTGGCCTTGGGTGGCTCCTTGTAAAAGAAGGGTGACAATACATCCCTCACCAGGCAGCTGTGAGAATTCAAAACCGTGCAAAAATTGTCTGAGTAGGGCCTACAGCAGAGGTGGCACTGAACACAGGAATTCCATCTCCCTTTCCCAGGTTTGAGCCTGGCCACTAACCAGCTGCTTGACCTGGGCCTCCCAGTCCCCCAAGACACAGAGAGGGTTCAGGGGTGGGGGGTGTCCTTCAGGGGCCCCTCCATCACACTGCAATCTCCTGGCCCTCTCGGGCGTTACTTAGGTTTCGTGCTGTTTATAATGAGCACCCTGAAACCAGGCGCTCGGTCTAGTACAACAGGAAACTGGAAATAACGTGGGAGGCTTACTGGAATGCTCTGGTAAAGAAATTATTGCGGCAGTCAACACTTCTGATCGAAATGAACGAAACTGGCAACGTGTGATTAAGATGTTTATGTACAAAGGAAGTGTTGTTGTTGTTCATGGAAATTCCTTGAAATGGGGTTTTGGATGAATCTAATTAACCTCTGTTTATGTCTTACTTGTTTCTGAGGCTGTTTCTTACTCCCTCCCTTCCCCCAGCTTTGTAACCCATCAGCCACTGTATTGACGGTTGAATTTGGAGTATGTGATCCAGTTACTCGAAAGGAGAATGCATATTTCTACCAAACATGTCCCTGTGTGTACACACCCATGCACGAATGCACACTCAACACAGACTCACATGCATGAACGCACACTCACGCACACTCATGCATGAATGCATACTCACACACACGCACGAATGCACACTCACACACACATGCACGAATGCACACTCACACACGCACGAATGCACACTCACACACATGCACTAATGCACACTCACACACATGCACGAATGCACACTCACACACGCGCACGAATGCACACTCACACACACACGCACGAATGCACACTCACACACACGCGCACGAATGCACACTCACACACACACGCACGAATGCACACTCACACACACGAATGCACACACACGCACGAATGCACACTCACACACACATGCACGAATGCACACTCACACACATGCACGAATGCACACACACATGCACGAATGCACACTCACACACACATGCACGAATGCACACACACATGCACGAATGCACTCACACACACACATGCACGAATGCACACACACACACGCACGAATGCACACTCACACACACACATGCACGAATGCACACTCACACACACATGCACGAATGCACTCACACACACACATGCACGAATGCACACACACACATGCACGAATGCACACTCACACACACATGCACGAATGCACACACACACATGCACGAATGCACTCACACACACATGCACGAATGCACACTCACACACACACATGCACGAATGCACACACACATGCACGAATGCACACTCACACACACACACATGCACGAATGCACACTAACTCACACACGGAGGTTACTCAATGGGAGCTACCCTCCAGACAAAAGCGTAGGATTTAAGCCTCGTCATTCGTGTTTAAGTTTAGAAACATTTACGGCTTAGAGAAGCTGGAACCTACTTAAATTTCCCAAAAAATATCCAGTTCTGAGGCTCCAAGAGTCCTATTTTGGATCCCAGATTATCTTGCTCTACGCAAAACGGCCAGAACCTGAAACGGCACCCGCAGGGAGGATGCACACTTCAAAGAACACAACCTTAAGGTCTTTCTGTTCTTTTCCAGGCAGTGTCTCGCTGGTGATTTATTACAGCCTGCTGCATCCCAAATCCACAGACATCTGGCAGGGCTGCGTAAGGAAGCCCTGTGGCATTGCCGGAGGTGGTAGAACCGAGACGGGAGCTTCTCCCCGGGCCATAGCTCTAGCTGGGAAGAGGACAGAGAGCTCAAGCTCATGCCAAGGGGCAAGTTATGAGCTAGCTATTTTGGGGAAGCCCCCCACCCCTGAGCAGGTCACCCCAGAGGCAGGGCTGGGGACCCAGGTTGCTGTGGAGGACTCTTTCCTCAGTCATCACCACTGGCTGTGGGTGAAACTTGCTCTGAAAACAGGAAATATGTCTAAGATCAACGCTGCCTTTGGAGATGACAGTCCTGTCTACTGTCCACCTGCGTGGGGGCTGAGTCAGCAGGGCGACCTGCACAGGAAGGCCCTGTCTCCCCAGCAAGAGCTCCCATCCTCCTCCTGTGACCCCTCAACCTTAGAGAAAGGCTCCGTGTTTGAAGGTGTCTCTAAAGCAGAGGCCGACCCACTGGAAACCTCATGTTACGTATCTTTTGCCAGCGATCAGCAGGACGAAGTGCCTACCCAGAACCCAGGAGCCACACAGGAGGAGGGCACCCCAAAGGAAGGAGATGGTGCTGTTTCTGGGACACAGGGAAAGGGGACAGGTGGGCAGCCAAGAGGAGGGGAAGGACAGCAGAGCTCCACATTGTACTTCAGTGCCACTGCAGAAGCAGCCACATCCTCACAACAAGAAGGCAGCCCAGCTACTCTGCAGACGCCCCACTCTGGAAAGAGATTGGGAAAGAGCAGCCCTCCCCAGCCTGCCTCGCCCCAGTCAGTGGCCAAACCCTTCCCAGTCACCATGGCTGACATTAGCCCCATCCTAGGCACAGGCCCACGCAGAGGCTTCTGCGCCCATGCAGGCTTCCCTGGAAGAGCCCTTGGTATCTCAGAGCTGGAGGAGCAGCAGGAGCCCACAAGGGACCTAAGTCACCATGCAGCTGTTGGTGCATGGATGTCGTTGCCACAGCTGAGGACGGCCCATGAGCCCTGCCTCACGTCCACCCCTAAGTCTGAGTCTATCCAAAGGGATGACAGCTACAGGGAACAGATGAAGTATGAGCCGAGTTTTTTCATCTGACCATTGTCATGGGGGATAAGACAACAGGCTGATGAATCAAGCTGGCATTTGGTGCAGTGGGAGGAGAAATCCCGCTTTTGCTGACACCCATGTCCTTGGGTACATTGCTGTCCCCTCTGAAAAATGTATCCCTAAAAAATGAGGAAACAGGGCTGGCTGATTTCTCAAACCCACTGTAAACATCACAGACCCCACCTATGCATCGGAGAGGCTCTAACATGCTATGGAGGAGCAGAAAGGGATTCCAGTCAAAACTGCCTGTTGCCTTTTATGAACTGTAGGTTTCCCTATTTTATCTCTTTGCTGTGGCTTCTAGGAAACACAAAGGCAAAATCTAGATTCCTATTTTATTTGGAGTTCTTGTTACGATTAGTCTTGCCTCACACTTAGTGGTTATTAATCTCGTTTTAATACATTCTGACTGCATTATGTTGTGAAATGGTAAGATAATGTGAATGCTTTCTAGGAGCACATAAGGACTGCGTGCCTGCAATAACGAACATAACTGAAAGTGCACATGTCATTCTAAGACTCCCATATCTTTTGGTTAGGGACAATATTAGGTCCCTTAAAAAGGAAGAGTAGGACCACTTAGCTCAGCCTCACTCACGCTAAGGGCATGTGCGACATTTTCTGTGACACGCTCTCAGACCATCAGCATCCTCCTGGCCAGCTGCATGCATGGTATCTTTCTGTAAAATGTGCAACTCCTCTTGTTGCAGGCCGGCCGGCCAGCAGTTCTCTTCCAGCTCCCACTGCTGCTGCTACACCCCATCTCCTTTATCTCCAAGCTTTGTTCGCGCCCTCCATTCGACGTGAGACACCATCTGTGATTTCAGCCCACCCAGCAAGAAGGGAGCAAACATCCGTTCCTCTTGCACGCTCCTTCTCTCTGATTCCTGCACTTTAAAGTGTTCCTTGTGGCTGTGTATTTCTATCATTTCTTTAAGCTTTCCTTTGTAGCCGATTAAGGAAGTCCAACCATAAACCATCAAAGAGAAAGGCACACAGAGGGCTGGATGCTATTTTGGGGGAGGGTGGTTTTGTTTTCTTTTGTTTGTTTGTTGAGACAGGGCCTCACTCTGTCACCCAGGCTGGAGTGCAGTGGCACAAGCATGGCTCACTGCAGCCTCAACCTCCGGGTCTTAAGCAATCCTCTTGCCTCAGCCTCTTGAGTAGCCGGGACTGCAGGGAGGTGGGCACCATGCCTGGCTACTTTTTTGTGTTCTTTTTTTTTTGTAGAGTCAGGTTCTTGCCATGTTGCCCAGGCTGGTCTCCAACTCCTGACCAAGATCCAGCAATCTGCCCACCTCAGCCTCCCAAAGTGCTGGGATTACAGAAGTGAGCCACCGTGCCCACCCAGGATGGGTAGTTTTTATCCTCTGCAAACACTCTGGATTAGGGGACAATATTAGAGCCCTAAAAAGGAAGAGGAGAGTAACTTAGCTCAGCCTGACAACTACTAAGGGCATGTGCAGATGCTTTCTGCAATAAGCTCTCAGACCATCAGCATCCTCCTGGACAGCCACATAAGCCAATTGGGGGTAGCAGACAAGTGGCTACACATTTTCGATACAACATAAAGATAACAAGAGTTTGGGTCAGACGTAGGCGTGCACACCTACAATCCCAACGCTTTGAGAAGCTGAGGTGAAAAGATCACTTGAGGCTAGAAGTTCAACACCAGCCTGGGCAATGTAGTGAGACCCCCATCGCTACTAAAAATATAAAAATTAGCACAGTGTGGTGGCACACCCCTGTAATCCCAGCTTCTCAAGAGGCTGAGGCATGAGAATCACTTGAATCGGGAGGTGGAGGTTGCAGTGAGCTGAGATTACACCACTGCACTCCAGCCCAGATGACAGAGCAAGACTCTGCCTCAAAAAAAAAAAAAAAAAAAAAAAAGGAGTTTGTTAACAGAACAAAATCATTCACAGTTATATTCACTGTGCTATTCCAGCATCTCAGTCCCTCCTCCACGCAGTCTCTCACCCAGCCATGTGAGAGCAGGGTCCTCTTCCGTGAATCCTCACTGGGCCTCCCCATTCGTCCTCCAAGACTCCACTCAAGCGTCACCTCTTGGCATCTTCCTGGGCCCTCCCCAATCTGCCCTCTACCCCAGGTTGTACTCCACTGCCCTTTGCCCTGTGGTGACCTCTTCCTAAATGTGAAGCCCTGCTTCCCTGAAGGCTAATTAAGGGTTGCAGTCCTCACGCTGGGCTAACTTTAAGGCCCAACATAGTGTCCAGCAAAAGGAGGCGTTGGGGCATTCAACAGGATGAATTAACGAAAGAGCGGGGCTGTGCACGTAAATCGCAGCTCGAGTGCATATCCTGGCGCAACAGCTTTTATCTTACGGGGAAAAGGTAAGGGTGGGATATGGGGAATTTGCTCCATTCTTTTCAAACTTCCTAGCTCTTGAATAGCCTGGAAACCTGGAAGTCCTCTTCACTCATTCATTCGTTTAAGGAATATTAGTTGAATGTGACAGGCACTGACAATGCAGAAATCAAGGCATGCACGTTCTGTTTGAGGCCCCAAGGACCAACATGGGCTTCTCAAATGGCCTCTTCACTTCATGCCTCCAAAAAGCATATTGCCCGGTGGTGAAAAGGATCAGAAAATATATTATATTTATTAGAGAAGACTAATAAATGGACACCTAATTCAAAAATGCTTGCTGAGCACCTACTGAATGCTAGTCATTAGGATCAGAGCTACACAGAAGAGCTGTGCCAAGGCACCCGTGGCGTCAGTGGGAAAAGCAGGTGAGAGCTTTATGGACCCCACTCCGAGCCAGCTGTAGGAACCCTCACCAGGCTGGCTTAACAAGAAGGACGTGATTCTCATCTTCAGGGACCCAGCGCTGTTCTGGAAAGGAGAGATTCTATTTTCTTCCTGCAGTTTCTTATGAGCCGTGAAGAAACTCCTTAGGGTTCCAGACAGGATCTTTAAGACAGAGTTGCCCAAAGATGGACAAGGCTGTCCCTGGGGACGAGTGCATAAAGCCAGAACAGCCCCTTAGTGAAATGACTAAGAAGGAACCTCGAGGACTAGAAAATACAGCTGAAAGTGACTTTCCAGGCCCTGACCTGGGCTTCAGGGTGGGCATAGGCAGTGAGGAGGAGGTGAAGTAGGTGGAGACTTTCAGGTCTGTTTCAGGATGTTTTCCATTATTTATTTATTTTTTTTTTCAGATGGAGTTTTGCTCTTGTCCCCCAGGATGGACTGCAGTGGCAGGATCTGGGCTCACTAAAACTTCCACCTCCTGGGTTCAAGTGATTATCCTGCCTTAGCCTCCTGAGTAGCTGGGATGGCAGACACCCGCCACCATACCTGGCTGATTATTTATGTATTTATTTTAGTAGCGATGGCATTTCACCATGTTGGCCAGGCTGGTCTCGAACTCCTGACTTCAGGTGATCCAGCCTCCCAATGTGCTGGGATTACAGATGTGAGCCACTGTGCCCAGCCCATTTTCTATTCTTAAGAAAGGAGGAAGCAGAGTATGAAAACCAGTGCATTGGGAGAGACCTGAAGACGAGCACGTTGGCTCCCTGCCCTCATGGAGCCTCTATGGGTCAGGTTTTATAGTTATCCAGAATAACCAGCCTTGGGTATCCATGACGCTTCACCCCAGGAGATCTCATGCCTCTGCCCATGGGAGGACACAGAGGACCTCAGTGGGGACAGAAGGGCCTTCTACTTGCCACCAGCTCTCAGGACTGAATGCTCACTGCTGTCTTGGGGAGAAGGGACTGGGTGGTGCATTGGACCTCACTAGCCCCCATCTGGATCTTTCTGGCTGGGACCCTGGCATATGACTATGACATTCGGAGACAGCTGTGCTAATGCCCTTCAGACGGAGACCACCAGGAGCCCCCTGTAGCTGAACCACTTGGGTTTATGACTCTTCTCAGCAAAGAAGCATACATGCCATGGGAGACTGTGGGGCCCCTCAGTCTCCAGAGGCTGAGCTGGGCAGATTGCTGGAGCTTGGTCAGGAGTTGGAGACCAGCCTGGGCAACATGGCAAGAACCCAACTCTACAAAAAAAAAAAAAAGTAGCCAGGCATGGTGTCCACCTGCCTGTAGTCCCAGCTACTCAAGAGGCTGAGGCAAGAGGATTGCTTAAGACCCGGAGGTTGAGGCTGCAGTGAGCCATGCTTGTGCCACTGCACTCCAGCCTGGGTGACAGAGTGAGGCCCTGCCTCAACAAACAAACAAAAGAAAACAAAACCACCCTCCCCCAAAATAGCATCCAGCCCTCTGTGTGCCTTTCTCTTTGATGGTTTATGGTTGGACTTCCTTAATCGGCTACAAAGGAAAGCTTAAAGAAATGATGGAAACACCCAGCCACAAGGAACGCTTTAAAGTGCAGGAATCAGAGAGAAGGAGCGTGCAAGAGGAACGGACGTTTGCTCCCTTCTTGCTGGGTGGGCTGAAATCACAGATGGTGTCTCACATCGAATGGAGGGCGCGAACAAAGCTTGGAGATAAAGGAGGTTGGAGAGGACTTAGAGAATTTAGGCTTTGCTGGGTGAATCTGGGAGGGGCAGGGAAGCAGGACCCACTCGGGGCCGGGGGCAATGCTAGACTGGGTATTGCAGTCACTTGCATCTGTAGGGAGAGACTCATGCAAGCATAAGGCTGCAATGGCTAGAGCAGCAGCCGTCACCCATTTAGCGGGAAAGGGGGAGCTTGGTGTTTTGTGGTTGCACAGGGACCTTTGGTCTTGCTGTGTCACGGTCTCCCCTGGCCGTGTCTGAGGCTGGTGTCCTGTGAGAGGTTTTATAGCCAACAGGAGAACACCAGGGCCAGCCTGTAAGCATCAGACCAGGTCCCAGAGGTTGGGGACTGCTCTTTTCTTTGTCAGAATATTGGTGGCTTTGTAGACATTTGTTAGGCGAAATATTCTCTACTAAATCACAACCAAAACGGTAGCTTTTCCCGAGTCCCAGCAGCAGTCCCTCATTCTCCAGCTATGTCTGAACCCGAGTTTGTAGTTCATCCCATCCCATCCTTAGTGCAGAGCAGACCTCACATAGACCAGCTGCACATGTCCATAGCGCACAGCCCATCCCATCCCTAGCACAGAGAGGACCTCACATAGACCAGCAAAATGTGTCCACAGTGCACAGCCCATCTCATCCTTAGTGCAGAGCAGACCTCACATAGACCAGCTGCACATGTCCATAGCGCACAGCCCATCCCATCCCTAGCACAGAGAGGACCTCACATAGACCAGCAAAATGTGTCCACAGTGCACAGCCCATCCCATCCCTAGCACAGAGAGGACCTCACATAGACCAGCTGCACATGTCCACAGCGCACAGCCCATCCCATTCTTAGCACAGAGAGGACCTCACATAGACTAGCAACATGTGTCCACAGCGCACAGCCCATCCCATCCTTAGCACAGAGAGGACCTCACATAGACTAGCAACATGTGTCCACAGCGCACAGCCCATCCCATCCTTAGTGCAGAGCAGACCTCACATAGACCAGCTGCATGTGTCCACAGTGCACAGCCCATCCCATCCTTAGCACAGAGAGGACCTCACATAGACCAGCTGCACATGTCCACAGTGCACAGCCCATCCCATCCTTAGCACAGAGAAGACCTCACATAGACCAGCTGCCCATGTCCACAGCACACAGTCCATTCCATCTTTAGCACAGAGAGGACCTCACATAGACCAGCTGCATGTGTCCACAGCACACACTGATGTCCCAAAACTAGAAACAGCCATGTCTATCACAGAAGCCCAAGGTCACACAACTGGGACCCATCTGTCCAGGGCAGACAGCCGAGTGCTCCTCACAGGCCTGCAGGAAGGTCAGGGGCGGTGGATCTATTAACAGCATAAACAGCAGATTAAACAGCATAAAAGCTCACGGGCATAAAACAGCAAGCATGCATTTTCCACTGGGGTCTGCCTGGCCTCTAAGGGGGCTGTCTCTCCAGTCACCTCTGCTCACACCCCAGGCTTCAGGGCAGTGGCCAGGCTGGAGGCAGGGGTGGGAAGGTCCCCGAAGGGCGAGTGTAAAGCCACAGTACTCTGCCATCCTGCCTCATTCATGACTTCAACAAGCCCAGCTTCCATGATATAGGAAGCACGCTCCTTCTGCGGAGGTGGGTGAGATGGGAAAAGGTTCTGTCACAGCAGGTCAGCAGCTCCACGCCTACCCCTTTCCTCCATCTCATGCCCCTGGAACTCACAGCAACAGATGCCACAGCAGCAGAAAGGGCTGACACACACCAAAGGCCCAGATCCAGAAATGGATCCCAGACATGCCCTGAAGGCTCAGGATTTATTAATCCACAAATAGACTCAACATTCACGTCCTGAAGGGTCTGTTTGTAGAAATCTCTGAGTTACGTTCTGAAATTGACAGACATTTCCCCCTGCCTCTCTGCAGAGCTGTGGAGCTCATCGACCAGTGTTTCTGGCTTAGTTCTGATTCTGTATTCTTTCTTTTCTTTTAACCTCCCTCAGTCCCCCCAATTCCTAAAAGTCGGCTGTCTTCACAGTACTTGGAAAGGCAGCTGGTGCAACCTGAGAGCTTCATAAAAGGAGGAGATCCAGAAGGCAAGGCCCCTCCAGTGAGATGGGATGTGGGGCCTGGAGGGGAAGCCTGAGCTCCGTAAATCGGCCCCGCATTCCTTCTCTCCTGTGCCCTTTCCTTTCCAGCATAGGGAAGGGGTTTTGGAAGAACAGTCAAGGGCTTGTTAGGGAGGGCTTGGAGGAGCCAAAGCCTCAGCAGTGGCCTCCAGGGAGGGCCTGATACCCGTGAAATGTCTCATTCTGTTCATGCCTCTGCATGCCCAGAGGATGGGTCAACCCATGAACTGGCTGGGCAGAACAACAGCTTGTGTTTTTTCCTATGACGTTCTGCTGTACCAGGCGCGGGACCTTCACATTCCTTCTGAGCCCTTTCCTGAGTCAGCTCTCAGCTAAATGCTGCTGACACCAAGTAGGTTTTTTGAAACACCAAGAAAAAATTTTACTCGAAAACTCAAGTCGGCTTGTTCTCTTTAACACGGCAAAAACCACAGTGACTTTTGCACCAACCTAACGCTTGGCTCACCTCCCAAATGTGCTTCTCTTTTCCATATTACCTGGGATGGCCAAGTCTCCTGCCTTCCCCAGGACTGAGGGATTTCCTGGCATATGAGGTTTTAGTGGCCAAACTTGATAGTCCCAGGCCAATTGGGATGGTTAGTCGCCCTAAGACCAGTTAGCCCTATTGGACCTTTCTACCTGAATTCAGTCATCATGTCAGAAAAAAAAAAAAAAAAAGACAATACTTCCTGGTTTAAAAAAATCAGAAAGACACTACAAGTTTACCGAAGTTAGCTGCTACACCACCACCCCCAACTCCCCAACTGCCATCGATCCTGCAAAGTATCAATTTGACTAATACCCCCCTTGCTAGTCATGACTAGCAAAGGGAATATAATAGTTAACTTCAGGCTACAGCAGTGTCAGGAGGGATCGTCCGCTAGAGTCAAAGCTCTCGTCCAGATTTTCAGTTAACCTCTCTCGGGGAGGAAATCTTCCATGGAAAAATACCATGGAAAAATCCACTGCTTTGACCGCACAGATACATTCATTATGGCACGACCGTAATTACAACATTGCCTGTAAGGGTTTCCATTATAAATGGGGTC